CTGCCATCCCACTTGCTTTCAGACAGGGAAGCATCTGAGGAAAAACCCCTGCATTCCTTACTGCCCCCCACAGCTGCAATCCTAACATTAACATGGCCATGTAGGGGAAAGGGTGGGGACTCCCTTCTACCCCTTCTCCCCCACTTTGGCATAATAGACCAGAGCACAATCTTTTCCTTAGGTATGAACTGGCCATTACTGAGACCCATCACCTCTGCCTCATACTTGCTTTATATAACTGGGTAAGCTAAATGAGGTGGAAGACCTTCCCACTGGGGTACACTAATACAATACAGCCATGACTCAAAAGCTGGTCTTATTTTTGTTCCCGTTGAACCAGTCTAACCACCATCGTAGTCATACATTAGTGTTCGATAGAACTACAGTTTCAACAGTATCATTACAGCACTTTGAGTCATCTCTCTGGTACACTCATCTTTGAGCGTGTTTGAACGGAACAGGGAACTGGGCGATTTTATCTGAACATTTTTGTTTTTGTTTTACTTTAACCATGGCTATAAATGATGATATAACAACAACCAAGAGGAGGAAGTCAAAGTCTAGCCATATTGCTCTGATAATTCCAACATTCAGTAACAAGTTTACTATTTTAGGGCTGTTGATTAATCGTAGTTAGCTCATGCAATTAACTCCAAAAAATTACACCTCTACCCAATATAATGCTGTCCTCGGGAGCCAAAAAATCTTACCGTGTTATAGGTGAAACCGCGTTATATTGAACTTGCTTTGATCCGCCGGAATGCACAGCCCCACCCACCCCTGGAGCGCTGCTATACCACATTATATCTGAATTCGTGTTATATTGGGTCGCGTTATATTGGGGTAGAGGTGTAATTGTGATTAATCGCAGTTTTAATCGCACTGTTAAACAATAGAATACCAACTGAAATTTATTAAATTTTTTGAGATGTTTTCCACATTTTAAAATATATTTATTTCAATTACAACACAGAATACAAAGAGTACAGTGCTCACTTTATATTTTTTATTACAAATATTTGCACTGTAAAAATGACAAACAAAGAAATGGTACTTTTCAATTCACCTCATACAAGTATTGTAGTGCAATCTCTTTATTGTGAAAGTGGAACTTACAAATGTAGATTTCTTTTGTTACATAACTGCATTCCATAACAAAACAATGTAAAATTTTCAGGTGACGTAAACAAGTGGGCAGCATTATCTCCTGCAAATGTAAAAAAACTTGCTTGTTTGAGCGACTGGCTGAACAAAAAGTAGGACTGAGTAAACTTGTAGGCCTTAAAGTTTTACACTGTTTTATTTTTGAATGCAGTTATTTTTTGTACATAATTCTACCTTTGTAAGTTCAACTTTCATGATAAAGAGATTGCACTATAGTACTTTATTAGGTGAATTGAACTATAGTATTTCTTTTGTTTTTTACACTGCAAATATTTGTAATAAAAAATAAATATAAAGTGAGCATTGTACACTTTGTATTCTGTGTTGTAATTGAAATCAATATATTTGAAAATGTAGAAAATATCCAAACATATTTAAATAAATGGTATTCTATTATTATTTAACAGCCCTATTTATTATTATTCTATTTGTATTTCAGTAGCACCACCAACTCAGCCTTGGGCGCCCATTGTGCTAGCATTATACACACATAGTAAAGACAGTCCATACTTTGAAGAGTTTAAACTAAACAAAGGGTGGGAGACAGCAAGTATTAGAACCCCATTTTAGATATGGAGAACTGAGGCAAAAAGAGATTAAGTAACATGCCGAAGGTAACACAGGAAATCTGAGTCAAAGACAGAAATTGAATCCAGATCTCCTGGATTCTGGGTGAGTGCCTTAACCATAAGGACAGGTTTCAGAGTAGCAGCCATGTTAGGGGTTTTTTCACTTCAGCAGGTGGGTATTGTAGTCAGATTGACAGAGCCAGACGAGTACCCAGGAGTCACCTCCTACAAGACAGGCCCAACAAAGAAAATAACAGAACACCACTAGCTGTCACCTTCAGCCCCCAACTAAAACCTCTCCAGCGCATCATCAAAGATCAACAACCTATCCTGAAAGATGATCCCTCACTCTCACAGATCTTGGGAGACAGACCTGTCCTCGCTTACAGACAACCCCCCAACCTGAAGCAAATACTCACCAGCAACCACACATCACTGAACAGAGACACTGACCCAGGAACCTATCCTTGCAACAAAG